ATATATATATATAAAACTTTCTTCTTTTAATTTTTTAAAAGTAAAACTGTGTCTTTAAACAACAGATAAAATAGCTATGTTTACTAAAATTATATTTCATTTTATTGCTGGGAGAAATATATGACTGCCAAGGATTATTCATATACATATTAATTTTAACTCATGTAACTGAAATTGTATGATGATTTTAGCAGCTTTTCATCTGAATAAGACCGCAAGAAGTTCCCCAATTGTGCTAATAATTTTCTTTCCCTATATTTTTCTTGAGAAGATTGATTTTTCCCTTCATAAGTAAATATATTAAAATTAACTGTCACCCATACTTCTATTTCAGTGAATGCTGAGATATTCATAATAACTTGTCTGTTTCAAGTGAATGCAACTAATCTTTAAGTGAATAAACATGAAACTTTCACATGAAGCAGTACATGTACATATAAGTATTTTTTTCTATGTGATTATATTGAAATATACTCTGAAATAGCCCAGAACTACTCAAATAATACTGCTTATATACATATAAATCATACTTACCTCTAATATCATCTTCCTTCCTGCACTATATGTCTTTAAATTAGTGGTATTTTTAGCTGGTAAGACTAATTTATCTCTTCTCCAATGGATCGATGCCGGTGGATTTGATTTCACATCACAACTTATATTGATTGGATTTCCTTCCCAAGAGTAATAAATTGTTTGGTTTGATATAAACTTAGGGGCATCTGTAAAACAACATTAATAAATAATTAATAGATTTTTTGAAATAGTCATTTTGTTTACATAAATTATCCTGGGTACAAATTAGTAGTTCTGAATAATAATGAAGATATAATTCCAAGTTCCATATTAAATATATGACATAGAACTTATGAAAATATATTTTATTTGAATTTTTGTCAATGTTAAAGAATTTCAATGTTAATAGCATTAAAGAGGTGTCTATCCAATTATTAAACTATGAAACAATACTCAGTAAAATTTGTTCTTACCAATTTTACAAACACATTTGTTGATTAAATTACTATTTACATATACGTGAACATTTCTGGAACAGCCCACATTATAAAGTGAGAGTTTAGGCTAAACCATAACAAAATGAATGGTTCTGTGTTATTATTTAATCTTGTCTTACTCCCAATATTTTTCTATAGTATACTATGAAACATGAATGAAATATAAGTTGAAAAAGCAACTTAAATGTCATCTTCTATCTAAAGTCTCTACATTTTCGATTTGTATTAAGATTGACATCTCAATCAACAAAAATGAATTTGAAATCAGTCACTTCTTATGATTCCCTGTCAATTTTCAGGCCTTGACACCAGACCTGTATACTAAGAGTTAAGAAAAAATTAAGGAGGTATTGTGTTGGAGAAATTAACAATGTGCCAACTCAAACTATTCCAAATTGTTGTTCTGATATTTTTCAAGCTGAAATTACTGAAGGAACTGTAATTAATTGCTGAAAGGGTCTTTTGGCTTGTGTTTTTCTACATTAAGCAAGACACATTCTTTTGGAGAGTATGTCTTCCATATATCAAGCCTAGAAAATAACCTTAAAAACCAGAGACATGTAGCAAGGGATTTAGCTCAGTGGCACTGTGCTGTGCCTGCCTTGAGAGTACAAGGTCCTGAGTTCGATCCCCCCCAAAAAAAAAAACCCAGAGACATGTAATTGTGGATATGATTTACCTGATTAAATAAACTGTGAAGTAGCCATTACCTTCCCCCACCCAACTCTTAGTAACACACTCAAATTCACCACCTTGCCTTGACATTCCTTCATATCTGGGGGAGTTGGCTGTCCAAAACTTTTAAGAGCATCATGCATTAGTCATTACTTAAAACATATCTCTTGTAGGGCCGGGGATTTAGCTCAGGGGTTCCACTGCCTGCCTCGCAAGTGCAAGATCCTGAGTTTGATCCCCCGTATCAACAAACAAACAAACAAACAAACAAATAAATGTCTCTTGTGAAGACCCACTCCCTATACATGAAAAGGAATAAAAGGTTTATTAAGTAAGCTTTACAATATTTGAGTTCTGATATTCAGCCAGAGAACCCATATAAGAACTAAAGGAGTGCGTTTGTCTCATCCCTAAAATATTATAACAATTTATTGTATAATTTTAATTTAAAAGGCACAAAAATAGTTTTCAGTCTTATCCATTCCAGAGTTATAATCTAGTCCAAATGTCACCTGTAGGAAATTTTTTGTGTTTCAGTTTACTGTATGTATAGTCGTTTGATATCAATTGTGTACAGAAAGAACTTATTTTGTAATTGTTTTTGTTACTAATATTAAGTGTTTAAACCTTAACAGCCCATCGGAAAATTAATGTCTATAGTTTAGCTTTAAACATTTTAATATCCATATCACTCATTCATGTCTACATACAATTATGTTCAATTTACACATTATGTTCTGAGCCAGTAATACAAAAATTCTAGTCAGCAATACAATGCAGACAATGCAGATTTTTTTTTAAAAAAATCGACATTTTATCTATTATTTACTGTATATCTTTCTTGTCAAGACATTTTACATTTTTTCAATTTATTAATCTTTTAAATTTTAAATTAAATGTATGCCATTAACTAATGAATATGAGCATAAAAATGAAAGTAAATGTGTAGTACTGTGACATTCTAATACAGGTGTACACTGGCCAGTGTTTAAATGTATCTGTCTCTTCAACGTTTTATCATTCCCTTAAGGTGAAAACATTGAAAATCTTTTGCTCTTTTTTTTTCAAAATTAATGGAAATAGCATGCAATAACTTATTCTTCCTAGTGTAATTTAGTACCTATTAACTAATTTATCCCTAATCTTCCTTCTACATGTCCTCCCTATCTTCTAACAACTAGCCTTCTACTCCCTAAATCCATAAGATTAACTCTTCAACATTACACATATTAGTGACATACTGAAATATATCTTCCTTGCTTATTTGACTTTATATAATAATTTCCATTTTCATCCATGTTGTTATAAACAACACAATTTCATCTTTTTTATGCTTGACTAGTATTCCATCATGTATATTTACCATTTGTTTTTATTAGTTCACCAGCTGACAGTTTGGTTGATTTCACTTCTTCCTGCTACTTTGAATATTGCTGCCTGAACATGGGAGTTCAAATATCTCTATGCCCTACTGATTGCATTTTCATTGCATATATATGCAGTGATGGATTTGGTGGATCATAAGTGTATGTGGTTCTATTTTTAATGTTGTGAAGAACCACCATATCGTTTTGCATCACCATGCTAATTTACAATCATTTCTGACCTCACCAAGAGTGGACAAGGGTTTCCTTTCATTGTGCAGCCCTTCCTATATTTTCTATGTATAATAATATGCAAGAGTTCTGGGGTGAAGTAATAGTTCATTATGATTTTGAATTGCATATTCATTGTTAGCAATGCTGAATAGGTTTTTATAAGCACATTTAAGACTCCAATATCACCGAAAATTATCGAGGGCTATTGCTGCCTATTTTTTTTACATGGACTATTTGCATATATTTGTTAATGACTTTTGGTTGTTCCTTATATATTCCAGATGACAGCCCATCGCAAGATGTATAATAATCAAGTAATTTCTATGGGCATCTGAAATGAACAGACATTTCTCAGACAAAGAAGTAAAAGCAGCAAGTAAACAGATGAAAAAATGTTCAACATCACTGGTCATTCGAGAGATGCAGATGAAAACAACAATGAGATTCCACCTCACCCCACAAAGAATGGCTGCTATCAAGAAATCAAACAATAACAAATGCTGGCTGGATTGTGGGGAGAAAGGATCCCTTCTCCATTGTTGGTGGGAGGGCAGACTGGTGTAACAACTATGGAAATCAATATGGAGATACCTCAGAGAGCTGGGACTAGAGGTTTTATTTGACCCAGCCATGCCTCTGCTGAGTATTTTTCCAAATGAACTAAAAGTATCATACACAGTGATATATGCACACCTATGTTTATATGCACAGTTTTATATGTTTATATGTGCAGTTTGTAATAGCTAAACCTTGGAAACAGTCCATTTTCCCATCAGTTGGAGACTGGATAAAGAAGATGTAGTTTTTCTATAAAATCGAATACTACTCAGCCTTAAAGAATGAGAAGTTTGGGCCGGGGATTTAGCTCAGTGGTTCGGTGGCCTGCCTTGCAAGCACAAGGACCCGAGTTCAATCCCCAGTACCAAAAAAAAAAAACAAAAACAAAAACAAAAAAACAAAAAAAAAAACCACAAAACAAAAGCAAGAATGAAAAGTTAGTTCATTCATAGGAAAATGGATGCATATTGAGGATAAACTCTTAAGTGAAATAAATAATTCACACGTGTAAATACTGAATAGTTTCTCTTTTGTGAAAAACTGTGATGGTACCTAAGGTCATAATGAGATAACTGACAATGTGAAATAGTAGGAAAAGGGCTAATGGTGTAGGGGAAGTGGGAAGGGTAGGGGAAAGGTAATAAGGGAAAAGAAAAAATATGAGAAAATGAAAAAATGGAAATAAATTATTTGTAAATAGGGAAGGGAGGAGCAGGTGAAGGAAGGGCAGGGACAAGGGGAAAAAATGAGAACCAAGACCTGTCATGTAAAAGTGCAAGATCCCAATGATGAACGTAACTGTTCTCTATACCTAAAAGGTACCAATAAACTCAATGAGAAAAAAAAATATATTGTGTAAATTGTTTTTTCATTCTGTTGTTTCCTGTGCTGTACAAAAGCTTTCCAGCTTAATATAACTTCATTGTACTATTGTGTTCTGTGTTTTTAGTGACTTGTCCAAATAATGTTATGTACATTTGCATGTCCTGGAGCATGTTATCTGTTTGACTTCAGTTACTTCATATTTTCATTTTTTCCATTGAAGTCTTTAATCATTTTGGAGTTGGATTTTTGCAAGTAACAAAAGAGGAGTAGTTTCATTGACATGTCCATGAGCATCGACTTTTTTCAGCACCATTTTTTAGAATTACTGATCTCACTTAATGAGTGTATGTTTATTAAAATTCAGGGGACTGTACATAGATGGGTTTGCTTCTGGGCCTTAATCCATTATGTTTGCCTGTTTTCAGGGCAATTCAATGCTATTTTGATCACTACAGTGTAGCAGTATATTTTGAAGTCAGGTAGTGTAATGCCACCTGTTTTGTTGTTTTTTGCTTAAGATTGCTTTGGTTTTTGGGATCGTCTTACAAATTTCTTTACAAGTTTTAGAAGTATTTTTGTGATTCTATGAAGAATGTCTTTGGAAAAACAAAAAGAATGTCTTTGGTATTTATATAGAGATTGCATTGAACCTATAGGTCTCTTTGGGCAGTATGTACACTTTAATGCTATTAATTCTTCTGCTCCATGACAAATGCATTTTGTTCAATTTTTATATCCCTTAAATTTGCCTATTCAATGATTTATAATTTTCATTGTAAAAATCTTTCAGTTAGATTACACTCATTTCTAGACACTGTGTTTTTGTGCTCATCGTAAATGTGACTGCTTTATTGATTTCCATTTCAGACAATTTGCTATTGATGTATAGCAACACACTGAATATTAGGATTTTGTATCCAACAAGTTTTTTGAATAATTGTATTAGTTCCCCTAGTTTTTGTGTAGTTTTTGTGGTTTTCTGTCATTTCATCGTGAGTTGTTATAATCAAAAGACTTTTTTTACCACTTATGGTAAACACATATAAAAGAATA